GGGGACACTGCACACACAGAGGGGACACTGCACACACAGGGAGGACACTCAATACACAGAGGGGACACTGCACACACAGAGGGGACATTGCACACATACAGGTGACACTGCACACACAGAGGGGACACTGCACACACAGAGGGGACACTGCACACACAGAGGGGACACTGCACACACAGGGGTGACATTGCACACATACAGGTGACACTGCACACACAGAGGGGACATTGCACACATACAGGTGACACTGCACACACAGAGGGGACAGAGGTGCAGGTATCAGCTCCCTGCCCATCCAGCTGTCCCCAGGACAGCAGTATCACTCTCCCTCCTCCCTCCTGGGCATGTTGCAAAAAGGTGGGGGGATGTCTCATAAACAGGTGACCCCACCCCAGTAAGCCAGGGTGTGTTTCTGAGAGTCTCTCCTTCCCACACCAACCCTCAGCCCATGGGAAAGGGGGGAAGTGGCACCCTGGAGGTGATCCATGGCTGCCCCTCGTAGGCTGTGGGGTGTGGTTTGGGACGGGGAGTTGTCCCACACAGGTGTAAATCCTGGGAACCCTCCCTCCTCTCGGGCTGCCAGATGTTTTATCACACAAATAAGCATTTCAACACCCCCTCCTGCTGATTATCAGGTGCGGATTGGGGGTTGAAGCAACTTTCTCTCTCACACACATACAAACAAGCACAGGTGAACCCCACCTTTTTCAGTTTTGGGGGACACAGCAAGAATTCGGAGGAGTGGGGTTTCTCTCACACAAAGGTGTGTTCCTGTGCAGAGTGACAGCAGGAGGAGTGCTGGGGTGTCTGAACTCCCCTTGGCATCAGGAGGAGTGCTGGGGGTGTTTCGGATCCCCCAAAAGGCAGCAGGATGAGTTTTGGGGGTATCAGGTACCCCCACAAGGCAGCAGGATGAGTTTTGGGGGTGTCTCACCCCCCTGTTCAATCCCCCATGGGGCTGTAGGATGTGATCCCTTACACAAAGGGTACAAAATGTGCTTTAAGAGCATCTGTCACCCTCATGGGGACATTCCCGTGTCTTGGGGTCGTTGGTCACATCACAGAGGGTTGTGCGAGGAGCCACGAGCACTCGGGGTGTGGGGTGTGTCAGGGCACACACGGGGCTGTCACCAGTGTCACACACGGCCCTGGGGGCTGTTCACCCTGACTGGGGCTGTCACACACACACAGTTTCACACGGGGTGTCACAGTTTTACACTGAGCACGTTACGCTGTGATGAGCATCACAGGGTTTTACACTCTTTGAGCACGTCACACTCAGTGTCACACGCTGTGCGTCTGAAGATGTCACACTCAGTGTTACACCGTGTCACACGGTGTCACATGCTGTGTCACACACTCACCATGTCACACTCTGTCACAGAGTGCCACGTGGGGTCTCTGTCATGCACGTCTCACACTGTCACACGCTGTCACACTCAGTCACACTGTGTTACACACTGTCACACACTCATTGTCACTGTGTGTGACACTGTGTGACACACTCAGACACAGTGTGTGACACTGTTTCTGTCACACTGTTTTAAATGCTATCTCACACACACTCAATGTCACCCGCTGTCTGTGCCACTCTTGGTGTCACACACCCTTGGTGTCACATGCTCTGTCACACACTCGGTGTCACACTCCACGTCACACTCTCAGTGTCACACACTAACATCCCACACTCTCAGTGTCACACGCTGTACCACACTCGCAGTGTCACATGCTATGTCACACTATGTCACACGCTCACTGTCACGTACACTGTGTCACCCTCACATTGTCACACACTGTCCCCCTATCTCAGTGCCACCCACTGTCCGTGTCACACACTCAGTGTCACACTCTCAGTGTTGCACTCTGTGCCACATACAGTGTCAGAGGCTGTGTCACTCACTGTCCCACACTGTCACCGTGTTACACACATAGTGTCACACATTCAGTGTCTCACACTCTCAGTGTCACACTGTCTCACACACTCTGCCCCATACTCTGTCACACGCACTCAGTGTCACACAGTCTGTGCCACACACTGTCACATATGCAGTGTCACACTGTCTCACACACTCTCAGTGTCACACATAGTGTCACAGTGTCACACAGTCACAGTCACACACGCAGTGTCACACACTCTGTATCACACACTCTGCCCCGTACTCTGAGACAAACACACTCTTGTGTCACACGCAGTGTCACTCTCAGTGTCCCACACTCTGCCACGCACTCTCAGTGTCACTCCCATGTCCCCGTGCCGTGTGTCAATGTCCCCGTGCCGTGTCCCCGTGTCCCTCTGCCGTGTGGCCACTGTGCCGTGTGCCCCTGTCCCTGCCGTATGTGTCCGTGTCCCCGTGCCGTGTGCCCCCAATGCCCTGTCCCCGTGTCCCCCGTGCCGTGTGCCCCCAATGCCGTGTGTCCATGTCCCTGCCGTATGTGTCCGTGTCCCCGTGCCGTGCGTCCGTGTCCCCCGTGCCGCCTCTCCGTGTCCCCCCGCCGTTCCCTCCCGGCCGCTCCGCTCCGCTCCGCTCCGCTCCGCTCCGCTCCGCTCCGCTCCGCTCCGCCCCCTCCCCGTCGCGCCGCCCGTGACGAAGCGGCGGCTCCGCCCCCGCCCGCTCGGAGCCGGCGGCGGCTGCGGCAGCGCGGCCGGGCCGGGGCAGCGGCGCGGGGCGGGCGCGGGGCGGGGGCGGGCGGGGCGAGGCCGGGCGGCCCCGCCGGGCAGGGCGCGCTGCGGCATGGATTACCCCGAGCCCGGCTCGCCGCAGGGCGCTCGGCACCTGCCCGGCCAAGCCGGCGGCTACGGCAGCGGCGGCTACGAGCGGCCGAGCCGCGGCGAGGAGGAGGAAGCGGCGGAGGAGGAGGAGGAGGAAGCGGCCGCTGCCCGAGCCCGCCCGCCCCGCTCTCCACCTCCTCCTCCGAGGGCGACCCCGAGCCGGCTCCGCCGCGGCAGCGCAGCCTCAGCGACGAGGCCGCCGCCGGCGACTTCGACTCGGCCGAGTCCGGCGCGTCGCTGCGGTACTCGACGGGCACGGGCGGCGAGGGCAGCGAGGGCGAGGGCGCGGGGCTGGGCAGCAGCGACAGCGGCGGCAGCGGCTTCTCGCTGGCGGCCAGCGCGCTGCCCGAGAGGCGGCGGCCGGGCGGCGGCCGGCCCCGCTATGAGGTGGTGCGGGAGCTGGGCGCCGAGGAGGTGCGCTGGTTCTACCGCGAGGACCGCAAGACCTGGAAGCCTTTCATCGGCTACGACTCGCTGCGCATCGAGCTGGCGTTCCGCGCCTTGGGCAGCGGTGGCGGAGCCGGGGAGGCGGCGGCCGTGGAGCCGGTGTGCGTGCGGAGCGGGCTCTACGAGGTGGATGTGGCCAGCGCTGAGAGCTACCCCGTCTATTGGAACCGTGAGTGCCGCTGGGCTGGCCGGGGCAGGCGGCGGGGTGGTCCCGAGGAGGGATGCTGAGCATCCCCCGAGCGCACGGAGCTGCGCTGGTGACACCGGCTGGGACAGCGAGTGGGACAGCGAGTGGTCCTTGCTGTCCCGGCGCACGACCCGGCCGGTGTGCTCGTGTGTTAGCGATATAGGACAAATTATCCAGAGAGAGAGGACCCGCGGTGCCCACCTCCAGCACGTACCTGAGCCAGTAGGGGCTGGGAATTCCCCTTGCAATGCTCTGGGCATCGCACCCTGGCCAGCGACACTAAGGGAAGAGATTTGGGCATCCCTGAGAGAGGGGACACTGGGCCATCCTCGCCCCCCCACCACACTCAGGGTGTTCTGAGCACGTCCAGCCGCAAAGGGAGCTGAGCATCTTTATCCTCCTCGCCTCCCTGTGCACACAAACCTGGAGGAGGTGATCTGGGGCATTGCACACCTGGCACCAGAGACTTGGAAAAGGGAGGTCTGGGCATCTGCTCATTCCTTGGCGTGTGTGGGAGAAAGTGGGAGGGAAGGTGGCTGAGAACCTTCTTAAGCTCTGCTTTTCCTAAGCAGAGGGTGAGTGAGGGTGGATATTTGCTTTCAGCATTCTCCCTGCTCACCTTTCCTTCAGGTGCAGGGCAGAAACATCAGTTGTTTGTGCACTCCCTCCTCCCCACAGACATGTCTGTGATCCCCCATCTTCAGTGAAAAATGATGGAAGAGAGGGTTGTCCCTGGCTTCCCCTTTGTGACCCCTGTCCTCTCCACTAGGGAAATGATGATCTTGTGCTTTGTATTTTTCTCATCACCTGCCCACTGGGAGGAGGCATGAAGTGGGATTTGGTGTTTGTCTTGGAGGAATTGCAACAGGCATCTCATACATACATAATCCTTAATTCCTACCCTTCCAGTAGAGCGAAATTTGTTTTCCCCCCCTCAATTTCAAAATGAGGTGGGAATACACCCCCTCTGCCCCCTTTCCCCTTGCATTCCTGTGTCCTTTGCTGGAGGACAGGAGACCTTGGTGGGGCAGGGACCCCAACTCCCTGCACTTTTCCTCTGGTGGGAAGGGCTCAGGGGTCTTGCTGGACAGGTGAGCTCCTGCTTTCCTGAGGCTGACAGGCTGTGCCACTGCTCACCTGCTGTTCCCGAGGACTTTCAGCTTTCCAGCTGCATTCCCTCAAGGACAAGGGAGATGTTGTGGAGTCGAGTGAGCTGCAGAGGAGCTGAGCATGTCCTGGCATGGGCTTGGCAGAGGGGCAGGCAGGTTTCTCTCATCTTGAGACTCAGTGGGAGTCTCAGGGGACCAGCAGAGCTGTTTCAGAGATGAAAACCAGGGTTTTCTGTTGTTTTCCCTCTTTATTTATCAGCCTCTTTACAGGAGGGAGCTCCATAAATGACAATACTGTGTGGTACAGTTCACTTGTGTGACAATTTGTCTTTCAAATCACCACCCCGGCAGACAGACACTGAACTCCAGGAGCGGGCAGAGGTCTCAGTGCACAGGAATTCTGAGCTAGAGGAGCCTGGGCACGGCTTCTGGAGCAGAAACTGGAGCTGCTTCTCCCCGTCAGCACCCTGCAGCCCCTTGCAGTTGGCACTGGGTGCTTCTGGTTCCTGGGAAGAGAAAAGAAGCAGGACAGCCAGGGGAAGAGGAAAAGGCTGCCAGCCCTGTAACTGTGCCATAGGAGAGAGGGGAAGGAGCGAGCAGAGCTGTCAGGTGAGGCAGGATTGCTCCTGGTAATGGGAGCAAGGACTGCACTCGTCAGCAGCTTAAAGGTTTAATTTCTTGACACTGTGCCTTGTCCATTTTGGAAGCTGATTCAGTCTCATTAAGCTGGAGGAGCAGATGTTTCAGATGGCAGCATAGGCTGTGCAGAGACGATTTCTGGTGCTGGAAGGAAAGGTTCCCAGAGGTACAGAGCACCAGAGGCAGGGGAGAAATAAACTCCTGGGCCTGAGCAGACTAATGACGGGGATGATTTCTAGTCCTCAGAAAGCTGATTAAGGGCAGTGCTCAAGTCTTTTCTTATTAGCAGGTTAGTCCTTTGCAAGGCTGAGATCAACTTTTGATGTTTCAAGGGGCTTCTGGTGCCTTCTGGTTTAACTTCTTCACTGCACATTTCCTTGCCTCTATTCCCTATGAGTGCCTTTCTCCCATTCTTCCTAACTGCCTCATCCAGATCTGAGAAAACAGCAAGGTCAAATCCCAGGATTCAAATCAGTGTTATCTGTGCCTTTGAAGGCCTTGGTGGAGCCATAATTCCCATATTATTCCTGTTTGGCAGCGTGTGTGTAATTCTGGATCCAAAGGGTGGCTGCTGCCCTGACGTGGAAGTGTCAAACCAGCTGTGAGTAAGGCAGGAGAATGCTCCCCTCTGACCACACAAGCACGAGGTGTGATGTGTACAACTGACTTCAAATGTGCTGAGGTGCCTGCTGAAGAGTACAGAAACCTCTGGCTGCTTTTGCTGATTCATGGTTCAGCTCAGAGCAAAGGTCAAAAGCCTTTCTGTTTGTTATTTTGCCCTTTTTCCTGTATGTGCTGGACTCCAGGGGAGGCTGCTGTCACACAGCCACCACACTGAGCAGTTGGTTCCTCAGCTGACAATTCCTGGGGCATCACAATGCCAGGGAAATGTTGGTTGTAGCTTGGCATGTGCTGGAATACTTTTTTTTATATCTGCATTTTAAGCTCGCTAAAGGATTCCTTGGTAACATCAAGAATATCAGCCTGAGTTACAATTTGAGCAGATTAATTACTGAGAATTTTATCCTTACCTTGTGACCTCTGGGATTTATTTAATTAGTGCTGAAGAACCAGCAAAAAATGGTTCAAGAGGATGAAAATTATTAGTGTAGGCTTTCAGATAAGTCAGTAATTTGGAGCAGGGCTCCTTCTTGTTTGCTGTGGAGATGACAAGAGTGATATTTTATACAAGGGTCTTCTGTTTAAATCTTAAATTATCCAGCCCTTTTCAGCCCTCTCAGTTGAAGAGGGCTGCTTTACAACCATTTTGCTGTGGAATTTGGAGTTTTCAAAGTCCTGTGTGAGTTTGTTCTATCTGTGGCCTGTAAACTTTTGGGTGACTCTCTCCTGTTTTCTGGCTCATGGGTTTGTCCCATGCAACCATTGTCCTGTCAGGTGTTTGCTTTTTCCAGGCTTTTTTTTTTTATAGGTACATTGTCAAGTTGCCTGTATTTATTTAAATTCTCCACTCCCAGACACAGGTTTGGTAAGGTTGGGGTTTTTTTGCTTGTTTCTTTAATGTATATTATTTTTCTACCAAACAGTTGCTGAAATCTATTAAGTAAAAAGCCTATTTTTGTATATATAAAAAAAATTATTCACTTGAACCATCCCTGAATGAAGATGTACTGATGTAACAGATATTTTACTGACTTTAATCTGGAAATACAAATACTTTAATCTGTGAATACAAAGTGGACCTCTAGGTCTTAAACTTAAGATCTCTCTGCTCAGGCTGGAATTGGGCTGCTTTAAAAAAACATTTTAGCTGCCATCTTGATCAAGATGAAAATTAAGGGTATGGAATCAAGAGTATATCATTGTTTGGGATTTTAATTTGGTTTTGTCTGGTTTTAGCAGTGCTTTTAGTTGTTTTACAGCACACTTAGAACATTGGTTTCAGTGTGCTGGACAGTCTTTGAACTTGTTTGATAACAATTTCCTTTATTTAAATGACCTTTTGATTGAAGGCTAAATTCCTAAGTACTATTTTATGGCTTTTTTTATCTCCAAGTGTGTAATTCTTTGGCAAATAAAACACTGACAGTTTACTTTGTAAAGGTGAAATGTTGCTTTCACTACTCAAAATCTTTCGGGGTTCTCCTTTTTTTGCATCTGTTTTTACTGCAACATCCTTTCAAAAACATCTCTTAGCTTTGTTTTTTGGCTAATTCCTTCCTGGCCAAAAGGTCTGGAGGTGTTTTGGGCCAGGCTGGACAGGGCTTGGAAAAACCTGGGACAGTGGAAGGTGTCCCTGCCCATGGCAGGGGTGGAATGGGATGAGCTTTAAGGTTCTTTCCAACCCAAACCACTCTGGGATTCTGTGACCTCACACACCTGGATCAAATAACTTTAAGATTTGCAGTGTTGTATGTATTTTATTTTTAAAAAATAACTTTTTTGTGTGTGTATGTTCAGGGGGGTTTTTTTGTGGCCTCTCAGTAGAGAGAGCTTGGGATTTTTTTTGGGATGCTTTCACCAGGCCAGGGTTGAGATGGCAGCACTTGGGATGTGTCTCTGAGGGAAGGTTTCTTCCATACCCTCACCTTTTATGTTTTATTTAAGCATATTTAATCAAAATTAATCTGTTGTCCCTCTCCTTTAAATGGGACCAAAATAATTCTCCAGTGGATGGTTCAGTTAAGGGTGGACATGGCTTAGAAAGTTGTGCTTGTCCTTTGATGTGGTCCAGCACTTTTCCTGCTGGATTTGGTCCACAAGGACAAAAGCAGAGATGCAGGGAATATTTGGATTACAAACTATGGGTGAGAGGGATGTTTTCTGCTGAAACTGTGGCAGCAGGAAATGTTTTTGGGATGAGGAGGATCAGGAGTTCTGCTCTGACTTCCTTCAGGTTTGAACATGGGTTGGACAGTGCTGAGATCAAAGGAATAGGATGGGATTTAATTTGGAAGTGACAGAGTTGGATTAAAGACGGATGACAGGTGAATTTTAGTGTTTTGAATTTTTCCTCTTTTGGGGGAAACCACACTGAAAGCAGAGACTTTGTGCAGAGCTTTTGGAGGAGCACAAGGATGTGTAAGAGCTGACTCTGTGCCAGTCAGTGAGCAGAAAGTCTAAATGGGGGGGAAAAAACCTGCAAAAGAGTAAGAAATGAAAATAAGAAGCACAAGCAGTTGTCTCAGAGATGTGTGTAAGGTTGAAAACAGTGAGGGTGAAGGAATGGTTTGAGTTTTGGCCAGAGGAAAAGTCACTGTTGTGGTGGGATCTGTT